AAATAGAAACCGAAGCTTTTTCAGAGGCTTTCTCTTTGGTTTAAAAACATTATCCAGTGTTTTACCCGTTTCTCTAAGAAGTTTACCTCAATAATAAACATTCTGGATAACAAAGTATCACTGTCTGTTGCAATAACTTAAACAAAATAAAGACAACCTAAATAAGCACTGATTTCCTTTAATTTTGTGTTTAAAAACTAAAACTAAGCTATATTCCATGTGTAATCTATCTCCATCCCTCCATACATTGTAAATTACACCACAGGTTCACAGCTTCCACCTATTTACCGCTACAGACTAGCATGTACACTGTGCTGCACTTTATAACTTTGACCCTATAATCCTACATAATAGATTTGCTGTATTCCCTGTTTTATTTGCTCCCAACCTGCTGGTAATTAGCCTTTTGCATTATATGATTTTTAAAACCTTATTAATTTGGCCAGTGGTGTGTGCTAACGCATGCAAAGATTCCTCTCTTCAGGTCTGATACTGTGGATGTAATTATGGCAGATTAGGTGTTTTTGGCACATGTCCAAGCATTTTCTGAAGAAGTTGACTTCGGAAACAATAAAAATAAAAGTTTAAACTTCATGTTTGAGTTAGAAATTAAATTAATACCGTATATCTTTTTTTCCCTCCAGTTGGTTTCTCTGCTTTTTCCTGTTAGTTTAAAATGTGTTGTTATTTTATATAAATAAAAGTGAACATCATCGAAGGGCAAAGGTCATTAAAATGTACTAATGAGGTGGAAAAACAACATGAACAACGGAGTGTTGGCCTAGAGGTCAGAACAGTGCACTTGTGCTCTGAGAAGGTTGCAAGTTCCCGGTTCGATTCCCCACAGCCTCCACTCTGGGTTCCTGAGCAAGACCCTTAACTCCACACTGCTCCCTGGGAGCTGCATAGTGGCAGCCCACGGCTCTCCAAGGGGATGGGCCAAATGCAGAGAGTGAATTTCTCCAGTGTGAGATCAATACATTTAAATTAATTCATTCATTTAAAGAAAATCCTCCAGCAAACTAATATGTTTTCTTATGTGATGTCATCATGTGTGAGTGGAAGATTGTTGACTTGGAGGCCAGATCATTATCTGGGATGCTTTTTTTTATTGGTGACGAATTATATTTGAAGTTAAATTTACAGATTATGTATGTTTTTCTTCTCCCTCTTCTGATGATATTCTTCTGATTTTCTATTTCTGACATTCTTCAGAGTTAAATGAAGCAAAGCATTGCATCTGTCAGTATATATAAGCTTCCTATGCTTGAGTTTAAAACATGTGAACGCCCTTTCAAAGAGTTCAGTAGTCAGAGCAGGCAGAGTCAGACTCTCTTGGATGTTGGAGGAGGATGTTGTAATATGGGTGTGGAGCTCTTGTTGTGGACACGGACACACTGGATTTGTTAGGTCCTGGTTGTTTAGACAGAGGGTGATTTCATTGGGTCACAGAGTGAGCAAGAGTTTACAGCTTCTTATATCTCACTGAGATCATGAGTCCTTAAAACAAAGACATTTCCTCAAAAAAGAAAAAAAAGAGGGGGAAAAAATCCTCTAACTCAGTTTCTCACTGACTTTGATTCTTTCTCCAAAACCTGGAAGCTGCTGAGCTTCTGAAAAGGGTGGTGACTTCCTTTCGGATAAACATGTCATTAATCTGAGCGAACACATTCTTTCCCATCGCAAGATAACTAAAGGGGGAAATGTCCGGTGCAGGTTCCTCAGGCTGTGTGGTTACACCGGACCTCCTCCAACACAAAGCGACCTTCAGTCACACATTGGTCTGACCCGCCCTGCCTGGAAAGAGCCGCACTACCTGTTGTTCACATTTTTTATTATTTTTTTTTTATTTATTTTTGTTACCAACCCTCATTTATTCTGCTCACAACAGACCATAGAGATTCTGTTTTATAGATATGTGTTTATGCAGAAGTAATACAATATATTAAGCTATAATTCATTGCATTCAAAATGTTAAATTAGAAATTTAAATAGAAGCTGAGCAGAAATAGACGTTTCTGTTTGTGCATTTAATGTTTTTCAAAGAGAAGGTGATGTTTACATGAAACATGTAGTTTTAAATAATTACCGTAGGGTAGAAAATTAACAGGGAAGCTTTTATAATCTGTTTTTGTTATGTCCATTAATACTTTACCAACTTAAGCAGTTTAACACTAGAACTTCAAGAACACTTCATGAAATTAAACTAATTTCTCAAATTAAGGACCTGTTATTTGAAAAGCTCCCATCCGATTTCTTCTATTTGCTTTTTTTTCCATATTTAAATGTTTCAAAAAATATATAAGTAAATCAAATCCAAGAAGCCTTTTTTTTAAATAAACATTTTATGTGAATAAAAAATGTCCCCTTACTTACTGCCTGGTTGTGCCACCCATTCATCGCTGTGGGGAAATTATTGATTGAATGGTCGTATAGGTGGTTGTTTAAAGCATAAACAGCCTGTTTAAGTAGTGCTCCAACTTTTCAATTGAACTCAAAGCTAAACTTTGATCAACTTTGAGCCGAAGTATTTTATTTTTGTATTTTTAAGTCCTTTATTGCTTGATTGATTTACTGGTGCCCTTAAGACGATTTTTTGCTTTATAAGTCAGGTTTGGTACAGCACTTGGTCACTAGCTGTTAACCAGACATTCTGCTTACTAGTGAGGGATACTAATTCAAGGTTTTAAAGGCAGTTACATGTCATCCAGAACCTGAATTACCAATGTAGTCCCAGACAATCACACTAACACCATCATGTTTGACTGTCACTGCTATTTTATTTTCTTAATCTTTTGTGCCACCAGCTTACAATAGTTCTCCCTTCAGGTAATATGATATTTTTCTTATTTTTCAGAGATCATTAAGATCTCTTCTGGCAAATGTGAGACTGGACTTTGTTTCCTTTCTGGTTGGAGCTGGTTTTCAGCTTAGAACCTTCCCCTAGATGCCATCAAGATCAATATTAATGTTGAATCATTAAAAAAGAAAAAACTGCAGACCTTTGTGACCTCCTGGATGAGACATTGATGTTCTCTAACAGTGATTTTGAGAGGCTACCTTCACACTATGGTTCGTTGGAGCTTCCAAACCTTTAAAATCTTATAAACTGATTGATTTTATTTTATTTTTTTATCCTGATGGTGTCAGTGATTTTTTTTATTTCTCTTTTGTTCTTGAATATCTTGAAATATGTTTTTATTTCTTAGATCTTTTACCCTACTTCATGCTGTCAGATTCACTGATTCTAAAGGACGGGCAGGATTCAAGCTTGGGTTTGACCTTTGAAACTAAAATCAGCTTTTAAAAAACAAAACAAAAAAAACCCTTTTGTTTAATCACAGTTCATTTTGTTCTAACAGGTTTTATGTTTCTTCTTTCAAACAGGGCCAGGTTGTGCTGATGCAAGTTTTTAATGTGGTTTAAGTTTATATATCCAGAATCGTGTTATAGGATTTTAATATCCGTAAGGAGGCATCATGAAAATATAAGATAGAGGGAAATAGACGGTCTCTCTGTACCAGAATGCAACAGTGCAGAACACCTGATTTTCTTTTCTGCTTTGCTTTATTATAAAGGCTGGATATTTGTAAAATGTTGCAGTCTCCTCTATTTTGTTCCAAACTGACTTTCTAAGAACCTGGTTAAGATTTAGATGAAATGTGCTTGAAACAGTTTGGACATATTTGCTGTTTGCTGATATATTTGACGTTTTTTCCCGTTGCCAAAACAGCCTTGCCTCTGGATTCCTTTAGACTCCTGAAGAAGTGCTGTGGTATCTGGCACTAAGATGTAAGCAGCAGATCCCTTGAGTCCTGTAAGCTGCAGGGTGTGGCACCCATGAATCTGACATGTTTCTGCAGCATATCCCACAGAGGCTCCTTCGGAGTGTAATTTAGAGGAGGAGTCAACACCTCAAACTTATTGTTGTTTCTCCACACTGTTTAGGACTCATATTTACCTTGTATCATGGAGCAGAACATTGTCCAAATTATCTCTGGCTTTCCCTTTTTATTCTCATATTGTAGCCGGATAGCATTGATTTAAAAAAATAAAACAAAATAAATCGTTGCCAGAATCAGTTTCCTTCTTCTAAACTTTAAGCTACAGTAGCTTGTTGGTTGGCTGTTTAAACTCTTAATTTGTTTCACAGAAAAAAAGCTCATACATTCTTCTTTAAAAAAGCATTCTTCCTTAACAAAGTTAACAAATCTGAAGGCTTGATCCATCAGCTAGATGTCTTCTTTGTTTTTTTTTCATTAGATTAACCATTTCTACTCGTTGCAACTTTGAGTTATTCAAAAATATTATGACTGATGCCCCACACTGGCTTTTTACTGGACATTGTTGTTTTAATGTTCTTTTAAAGAGCAAGTTCCAGAGATTTTGCAGATATTTTGCCCCCGCTGGCGACAAGTGAAAGTGTCACCACTGTTGTGCACATGCAATGAGGGAAGAGGAAAAAGCAAGGCAGTCTGGTGCTGCGGCTGCACGGGTCCTTTGTTAACAGGAATGATGTCATCTGATCACATGATCTGAGCTCCCTTCTTATAAAAACCTTCTCTAATATTCTCATAATCTCTCTAATTTCATTGCAGATCATGCTCCAATTCAGTCATTTTGTTTGCAATAGACAAAAGTTGTATTTTCTTACTGTTGAATCTGTGATGTTTGAGATGCACCAGAGGATGTTTATGATCCTTCTTCACAAAGCGTTGCCCCTGCTCTCACTGTGGCAGAGACTCAACAAAGTAGCAAGGAGAACTAAAGCACAGCGGGTGACCCACGTCCACACCCAGAGAATTGGTCCCTAATAACTCATAAACTGACTAAAAGAGCCTATAGAGGCAACTGTGGTGAACAGAGGAAACTCCTTTTACATGTTAGGTAATAATAAGTGCATGTATGGGAAGGAAAAAAAAAAATTATAATTTTAAACTTGCACAATACATCTATAAGCCTGTTTAGTAATGTGCTTTATGTGCTGCTGCTTCCTCCAGAGCACGGTTTCATTGGTTACTCAGCCGAGCTTCTCAGCAATAACAGCGGACCAGATTATAGCCCAGGAGAAAACTTTTTCACCGTTTTCGGAGTCTTCTTTCCTGCTGCTACAGGTGCGTGCTCTCCCACCCCCTCTAGCTCCTTTTAGATAACGTTTTTCATTTATCACACAGCATGTCAACAACTCTGCTTTCCATTTATTTTTAAAGCTACAGTTTCCAGTTGGATAACTGCGTTTTGTAATGTTTATTTGGTGAACATTAGTGTGTGTATGTGTTCATGTTTAGGGGTCATGGCAGGATTCAACATGAGCTCAGACCTGCAGCGGCCGGAGACCAGCATCCCCGTGGGAACCCTGGCAGCTGTTTTTACTTCGTACGGCAGCAACCTCATTCACACAGCACATTAGCGTCATTAAAATATTTATATTATTCAGTTTTAAAATCTTTTATAGAGTGATTTCAGGTTAATTCCAAAGTTGATTAAAGTTGATTAAAAAAACAAAATTAGCCTTTAATGAATTATATAAAATCCAAAATGTTATGTTCTACACAAACATAGAGAAGTCTGCTCTTTTTCCAACTTACAACTGTTGTTGACCTCCATAAGGAGGGTAAGCAGCAAAGCTGGCTGGGAGTGCAGTATGCAGGCATGATGGAAAATTTAGTGGAGGGAAAAAAGTAGAAAACGGAATTCAAACAACAGATGAATGATAATAAACCGAGCCTTAAAGGGGTGATAGAATGATTCTATAGAGTATTTGGTGCCTTAAGGTCTCTGAATAGGGTGTGGAACATTGGTTGGGCTGAAAATGGCATATATCTGTTCTATGAGCCCTAATGCAAGCCTGGTTAAAAGTCCTAGAATGAAATTACAGGTTTTCTTCCTTTTATGGTATGCTCATGAATATTTAGATGAGCTGTGCGCTGATTGGTTGGTTTATAACGAGCAAAGCTGTTGAGCAAAGAAGCATCATAGCAACAAGCACTCACTCACTGAAACATTGAAGTTGTTGATATGGTAGCGTGGCCAGATGTCTTCTTTTTCCTGGACATATCCTACTTTTTATACCTAGAAAAATGTCCGGGGGAATTTTAAAATCGTCTGGGATTTTGGTCGACAACAGTGCAGCACGTAGTCGCAACACACTGGGCAGTTGAGCCGTTCCGTCAAGGAACCCCAACGGACTGGGGCAGGGAGCACGCAGGGGACGGAGCCACCAAACCTAAAAGGGTGACGGTAGCCTGGACACAGGCCGCCCAATGCTCCCCCCACCTGCCTTACCGGCCCCCATCCCCCGTCCTCCAGCTGAGGATGGGCAGCTCACTGCTCTCTGCTGAGGTCTGGTCCAGTCAGCGCCCCAGCAGTCGACACTCATACCCCCACCCCCCACCCCACCCCCCCTTGGGCCAGTGGGCTGGTCTGTATGTCAATTTCATGGAGTGACAAAAGTACAGGCCAGAACCAAATAAGGCAACATCCCCGAATTGACGTCAACTCTGGGCTTCGTTTGAATTCGCAGTTAAAAATTGTGAGATTTGCAGAGAAAGGAGTTGTCCATGGGGTTTGAACTTCTCTGTACGTCCATTTCTCCCACTAACTGTCATTATTCATGACATTCGGTTTTGTATTCTATGACCCCCTCCAAAGGACATTTGTTCTGGTGGGATGGTTAGTGGTGTCTTATTAGTTAGGGGGCAGGCAAACTGCTCAGCAATGAGCAGGTTAAATTCAGAGGACAGATTTCTTTGTAATGTGCTTTTGGAAGCTTTAAATCTTTTATTTGAATTTAAAGAGCTACAACACAGAGACAAATCCAGGACATGAAATGAAGGTGATAATTTCTTTATGACAAACTAATCCAAACCACAGACGACGTTAGAGTTGTCTTATTGATGGACAAATAATGATGAAGCGTTGCTAGGTCTTCCAGTCAATATTTCAGAAGAAAGTACATTTTGTATTTCATTTATATGTCAACCTGTCAGAGGAGGGTCAATAAATCCAATATGATTGTTTTTTCAGAGAAGTTTAACAGCTAATGATGATTTGAGGAGACGACTCATGCTGGTTTTAGTCGACCGGGTTTTCCCACGTCCATGTTCACATTTTAGAGAGTTTTCAGCACACTATTAAAAGCACCAAAAGCATATTTAATGACAGTGAACTCACTGTGCTTCATTTACCATCAACTGATCTGGACATGAACCCTACAGAGAATCTAAGTGGTATCTAGAGGAAAATGCCAGACGGCAGAAAAGTACCCTGGGCTTCCTCAGTGGTACCACTGATCCATCCCCTCCACCCCGCGTTTTGTTGATGCAGTTATTTATACACACGTGCCTCATAGACTATTTTGAATTAATTAGACACTTCTGGGTTGAAATAATTTTCTAATTTTAGATAACTTTCAGCCATAATCATCTAAATGTTTAAAAGATAATATATAGCTCTACTGTATAGTAAAGAGTATTAATGACCTGTGAGTGGTACTTTTTGGATTTGTATTACTGAAGCAAATATGCTTTCTCACAATATTCACATTTTTTTAAATACTTACCTGTACACCTACTCTATGGCATCATTGTGGTATTTGTTATCAGAAGGGGAATTCCCCCCAAACATGCTTTACTTTCCCCGTCTACTGCGGCGTTTCTTAAAGGTCAAATCTTTCCTGTTTCAGTGGGTAGAACAAACAAACCCACATTCCCAGCTCCAACCCAGCAGGTTTCTACCACTCACATTATTCTGTCTGACTTTTTGTATTAATAGAGAGAGAAAGGAGCTGTTGTTTATAATCTGGTGTGGTGTACTGTCTGTGACCTGCAGGTGGTTCCTGTATCTGGTCTTTGTCTTCCTCCTGGGGGCCATCTGCACCAGAGAAGCTCTGCGCTTTGACTTCTTGATAGCAGAGAAGGTAAACTCCTCTCTGTTTCCATCCAGCTGTGTCTGAGTCCTTCCAGCCGAGGAGGCATAGTGTGGGGTTTTCACACCATGTTGATTTGTTGTGGTAGGTTCAGCCTCCAACTGTGTGCACTTTTAAAATGGTTGGACGTCTTGAAAAACGTTTTCCAGTCCTTTAAAAAATTCCTGTTTGACCATAGTCTGTATTTGAAGTAGGTTATAGATAGCTAAGCTCTAAAACGTTCACAGTCATCTCTAAATGTCCACCTGTGTGTGATTTATTCTTAGTGGAAATGAAATTGTCCTGTTAAGATCTTAAAGGTTGCTTAGATTAGTTTATGGTTGATTGGTTAATTGACAAATGGCATCAAGGAGATCAAGAAGCAAAACGGACAGTTCAGATATTTATTTAGTTATTTATTTTTTTGTATCAGTGTCCTGTCTGGCAATGTGGCAATAAGAATAATTGTCTTGATGCCAAAAAGAGCCCAACAGATTTTTACTTTCACAAGTGGAGCAGTACGGCTATCGCTATAGTGTTCTGCTTGATTTATGCACGTAAGTAGCTTTATTATATTTCATGCAGGGAGTATTACAGATGATATGGACACTGCAATGGGAAAGTATAATGGGAAAGAAAAAAATGGGAAAAAGGAGAAAAGATGGAAGAAAAAAGGGAGACAATGATAAAAACATTTGAACAGTAAGAACGATGATAAGAAGAAGAATTAGTATCTGAAGCTTTAGACAGTTCGGGGGGCTCTATTTAATCTATGAGCTGTAAAGTGTAAAGAATGGCAAGGAAAAATCCACAGTTTGAAAGAAAAGTCCAGCTAAAATTACAGTCGCTATGGAAACGTCATCCCCGCTGTAATGTTTGGAGGTAGAAGAAGAGTGCTGTGGGGGTCAACAATAACGAATCTGCGGTTCAGATGTTTTAATAAGAAGAATGGGCTAACATCTGTATTTTAGCTCTGAAAAACTGCTAAATACAACTGAAACTGCAGCAAAATTATGTTGGCAGATTATTGGTTAACCAGGTTTAAATGAATGCATGTCACAATTTTCTTACACTTACACTCTTACACTATTAAGCATTCACTTTTCATTTTTAAAGATCATTGACCTTGGTCTTTAATGTAAAATTCCTTCAATTGTAGCTTAAATGAGGTGACGAACGGGAGACACATTTGTAAATATTTGATTTCAAAGACTGAAAAAGTGCTGAAGTCCTTGACTTCTCCATTAGTGATTAGTTCTCATTGTTTTTGCAGGGGCACGACTGCAGCGGAACTGACTTGGGCGTAGCTTTCATGAGATTTCAACCCCACCTCATCCCTTTCTACCCTGTGTTTGTTTTCCGTCTTCCTCCAGGTCTCCTTGGTGGGTTTCCTCTTTCTGCTGGGTCTTTACATCTCCTCTCTAGCTTCCTGCATGGGAGGCTTGTACGGAGCACCCAGGATCCTCCAGTGCATCGCGCAGGAAAGGGTCATCCCCTCACTGGCCTTCCTAGGAAGAGGGGTGAGTGGATAGAAGGCTTAAGGAATACATTTAAAGAGAACAAAATAGAAAAAGATTTTTTTAGTCCAATTGTGATTTTATGTACCATAGAGTTGCTTTTCTGCAGAAAAACTATAGTGAAAATGATTGTTGTTTTCTGTCCTTGGTGGTTAACCAATTCAATTTGTAATCAAACAGTTTTCTTTAGGTAAAAGTCAAATGTTCAACTTGAACATGCACATTAGCAAACAAATAAAACCAATAAGGTGGCAGCTGAAGCTTTAATTAAATTAAACTTTGATTTACCGTAATCAAGCAAAACCTGTAAATGTTCCTCTAAGTTCAGGGTGGTTGCAATGGTGGTTAATTCATTTCAGTTTATTTATAAAGCACCAATTCACAACACATGTCGCCTCAAGGCACTTTACAGTTCACCAGATCATACCATCAAATTGATACAAAGTTTTCTATCTAAGGAAAACCAGTTGATTACATTGACTCATTGACTCTTCAGTAATCCCTCATACTAAGAATACTTGAAGCGACAGTGGAGAGGAAAAACTTCCTTTTAACAGGAAGAAACCTGCAGCAGAACCAGGCTCAGTGTGAGCGGCCATCTGCTGAGGCCGACTGGGGTTCAAGGAGGCAGAAGCAGATACACAAAAAGCAACTGTAAAAGGCGGCCCCGTCCAGGAAACACACAGCCAGGCAGACGAGCTCCGAGCCAGTTCCCATGTCAGAGGATGAAGAGAGCACATCCAGCCAGTCACAGAAACAGGACTACACTGAAAAACAGGCAGATCTCCAACATCTATAAACAAAGGTGTTGATGGCAGCTGATATTTCTCTCCAGGGTGAAGTCACAACAAAACAGGAACAGATGAGGCAAAGCTACTATGAGAAAAAACAGAGAGGATAACATTAGAGATTGAACTAACAGATTCTGCAGTTTACAAACCAACATTTTCCTTATAGTGTGACATATTTCCTCTACAATTATCTAAACTAATTAAATCCTTTTATTTGACATATAATGAACACAGTAGGCAGTTCTTTTGATCTTTAATTTTAAACAGGCATTAGTTTTCATCTAAATGTAGTATTTTATTTCTTTAAAAGATTTTTCTCTGATTAAAGCAACCAAACAGTATGTATATATATATAAGCTGCCACCACCTGTTGCTAATATATACCTTTTGTTCTTAAATCGAAAAATGTATCATCATTTATTAGAACACAATGAATTCTTCCACAAACCTTTACAGTGTTTTAGTAACACATGTGAAGGTTTTCTTTAGAAGAGATGCCTTTGACCTTATAACTTAGTCCAGATATAAGTGATTTTTTGAAGATTTTAAATGAAAGTTTAAATAAAAGTTGTTTTTTTTTAACCTCTTGAAGCCTGTTGCAAATATGCAACAAGCCGTATGTATTACTTCAGCAGCCAAGATAAGATGGGCATTCCCTCAGTGCCAATTATTTCAGATTGGGTGCAGACCTAGGAACATATATATATATATATATATATATATATATATATATATATATATATATATATATATATATATATATATATATTATTTTTTTTTCCCCTCATGCAATCCACACATACAAAGAAATGAAACCATATATGTCTAGAAATTAAGTTATGTGTAATAACGTGAAATGCCACAGGTGAGTTACCTTTGTGCTGGAGGGATTTATTGATGCACAAAAGATTTCTGCTGAAGTAAACTGAACAGTGACAATGAACATTTTTAGATAAACTCTTAAAAAATTTCAGAGTAAACGTATTTGCCTGTAGTCATTCTCATTCCAGTTTCACACAACATTCAAAAACACATCTTGACTGTGTTACCTGCAGTGAACAGCATATTGTGACCTATTCAGCGGGTAGCCTGGATGTATAGGGGGTGTGGTGCTCAGACTCAGCAGGAAGCCTTTTTCTAAGCTGCCTAATTATAGAGCTTGGGCTTCATAAAGTAGAAGTGAGTGGACTGACCTCAGCATTGCAACACCCCGCTGCTGCTACACATTTGGTGGCGAGTCACGTTGATGCTGTGACCTCTTTGACCTCAGGCTTCCCAGTATGGCAGCACTGCTCGACCTCTCTCAGCATGGTGGAATGAGGCCTGAGACATCTTGGCCCAAATCAAAGCCTCAGAACAAACGCAGGAAGGGCGACGGGCAGGGCCCTGCTCTGCTGTGTGCTCTGGAGGCCCGCCAAGCGCATAACAGGCCGTCTGTAACTGTGCAACAAGACGGGGGATTTCAAGCAAGAGGCTGCTGTTTGGAGATATATGTTGTCTTCCAGAGTTTTATACTTCTGTTAAGCTGATTTGACATTTTCCTTAAAAGTTAAGGAGAAATAAAACCCATTTCAGAGATTGTCTTAAATATATTGACTAATTTTGTCTGCACAGTTTAAATATTTTTGTGGAAGATTACTAGTGCTGCTGCAGAAGTTTGTCTTTTTTAGAATACAAAGCTGTGATTTTGGTCAAGGAAGAAGGCAACCATTTTGGGGTGTTTGAGATTTATGCAAAATGTTGTTTAGAAAAAGTCGGTCAGTCACCGCTGGCTGTAACTGCAACATATTTAAATCCAATTATAAAGTCAGATGTACTTCTTTGGATATTGTGTTTATAAATGTTAACTTTTTGCTTCAGAAAATCAAGAACGGTTCATGAAATCTTAAAAAGCAAATTCCTGACATGTTCTCCAATTAAAAATGTGTATATTTAAAAAAAACATGATTATTGGGATGAAACTGTTTTAAAAAAAAGGATATCTACATCTTTAGATCCAGTTTTATATGTTCTGAAACATTTGAGTGTCTTGGTCAGTTGGGTTTTTTGCCAAACGACTCACGTTTGCTTTTGGTTTGATTAAAATCACTTTACAACACATTCTTTTTTTTTAATCATTCAAATTTTCAGTGAATTTTAGCTTCATCTTTCCTAATTCTGAGTTTTGACAATTTTGTAAATTACTTCTGCAGCTGGTGCACCCATGGCGCCCTTCTACATTACTAGGTATTCCTAATATCACTGTGTGATTTTTGTCTTGTTGGCAGAAAGGCCCAAACCGGACCCCCGTGGCGGCCATCTGTCTGACCAGCATACTGACCTTAGCCTTCATTTTCATTGGTCAGGTCAACGTCTTGGCACCAATCGTCACCATTAATTTCATGCTCACCTACAGCTTCATTGACTACTCCTATTTCTGCGTGGCCATGACCTTCCAGCTTCAGATTAAACGGAAGACGCTCATTTCAGGAAGCAGAAGCAGGCGCAGCTCGACCAAGCAAAGTGCCAGGCCCCTGATTGAATCTCCTCCCTGTAACTATGGGAGCGGAGGCGAGAGCCCGCAGGGGAAAGGCACCCTGCTGGAGTTCAACAGAGATATGGACCAGATCTTTCCATCCGTCTCCAAACTTAATCCTGGACCAGAGAATACACTAGTGAAGCAGGAGGTGTGCAGCAGATCTCATAGTAGGAAGGCTGCCACCAAGCAGAGGCTGATGGACAGCTTTGGTCTGGATCTGAACAGCAACGTGTTTTCAGATGAGAAAGATGGAGAGCAAAGCTCCGCTCCTTCAGAGGAAGAAAACAAGGAACCCAGTGGAGACGACGTGTTCAGGCCTGCAGATCAATCTGAAGTCAGATGTCCCACAGATATGCATATTCATCCACTGAAGCTCACTCTCAACATGAAGGTGACTAATTGACTAGGAAGATATTTTAACACTAAAGTGAGTTCATTTGGTTTGCAGTGACTTTTCAAAACTATTTCAGGTAATGAAGACAAACCGGAGCAGCAGCAGTTTGAAATCCAACCCATGCGGGATGCTTTTTACACCAAGTTGTGTAACCACTGGATGGCTCTAATTGGGGTGAACTACACAACACAGACAGCTAATTATGCTTCTCCTGTTACCATGGATGACTTGTGATTAATAATTATTTGTCTGAATTTATTTGCTTTCTTTTTCAGGCAATGAGTTCCATATTAATTATGTTCATCATTCAGTGGGTTTATGCTTTAGCAAACATCCTGGTTGCATTGCTGCTCTTCTTCTACATCGGGAAAACAAGTCCCGGTCTTCCTACAGGTAGTTTCTGCTCATATGGATAATCAACATGAATAAATCCTTTATTATAGATGTAAAAACTATCTAGAAAGTGATAACCTTTTGATTTAGTACATTTATCCAGTTAGGGGTAAGTATTGGGTAAAGAGATAATTGTTTATTACAATATCATCAGTGGCACAGTCCTTCCTGTGCTAACATTAAAGATAAATATGACCTTACTTCCAACACAGCGAATAAAGGAAATAGACCACTCTGTTAATTAAAAGTTATGGTTTGATAATTAGGAGTTTCTATAAATTCTTATCAGATGTCTGTGTAACATCACGTATGAATAAATAATATCAAGATAAGAATAATTTAGAAAGAGTTTAGAAAACCAATTTTTCAAGAGATTGTTTTTCTTTTGTTGCCATACTCCTATTAAAGCTTGGATTGTCATGAAATGAGAAATTATGCTTCAACTGCTAACAATCCATTCATTTCATGGCTCTTTAACTCTTTTCTTCAGTTGATGAGTTATTTTGGTTGATTTAAAATCAAAGTAATTTATTTGAGCAGCAGAGCAGAAAGTTATTCTGTTTCTGATACCCTGATGGAAATCAGAACTATACGTGATGTGATTCTCTGAATATATTCTTCACTTGAGGGAACTTGGATGCATTTAAACGTGCTTACTCTGTGTTCAGCTCATATTTATCTACAGCAGCAGCAGCCTCTGTTTTTAGGCTTCACTTGCACTTTCTCCACACAACAGGCCTTGCAGCTGTTGTGGCTTAGGATTTCTTGAATAGCTGCATCTGTGCACTGCAACACGTGGTAGCTGAATGACTCCACACAATTTTGAGCTCCAGTGTCAGGATTTGTCCCACAGGTGGATGGTGCAACTTTGCTGGTCTCAGACCCGTAATCACAGTTTTCTAAAGAAGTTTGAAGTTCAGGAAGTGTTGTGCAAAAAGTTGTTTCCCTTTAAGCCAAGCCTGAACTATTTCTATTTTGATCTATTTGCAGGTATCGCAGCTCAGTTCAGCTTTTTCAGATGGATGAAGTCAGTTCTCAGCCGCCTCTGCAGGTATTATTTAGTAGTTTTATTGTTGAGTTGCAAATTTTTTCTCTTAGATTTATTGGAAGCTAAAACTAGATTAAAGCAAACTGTATTTTCTATTTTCTTTTCTTGAATAAAGTATTTCAGTTATATTGTGAGTTATTAGCCAGACTCATCTCTGATTGTAGAAAAGATCATAAAACATTGGATCTGTACTTTAAAAGTACAGAAATGAGGAATACTGTTGTATTTTTTTTATGCACCTTGATTTAAGTATAATTACATTTGATGACAAGTGTATTAAAGTCTTAGAGCATTACATTTCAAGGAGATAATTGATTAGTAAATCACTGATAATTCTTTCCATCCATCCCTCTACCCGCCCGCCCAAGAAGGAAAACACAGATAGTCTTCTCCCTAGCAACACCTCCAGCTCATTTTAAGAGATTAAATGGTTTTCCCAGACCAAAGAGGACATTAGGTTCCTTAAATTGTTCTCGATCTGATCTAGCTCAAATAAGCTGACTCCTTTTCATGCAGAAAAGCACTAGTTCTATTTTGAGCTCTTGACGGATGATAGAGCTTCTTGCTTTATTTATTTTTTTACTAAGTCCTGGATACCTCTTGATGTTTATTTTAGCATTTTTTTTCCCAATGTCATTTATTTATTTTATTATTTATTTTTATTTTCATGTGCTATGTTCATAGATGAGGAATGTAATGTTACTTTTGTCTGTGAATCAAGACGTTTGCTTATTGGTTCAGCTCTTACTTTACCATGACAGATTTTCTAATGCCCAAATGACTACAAATGACACCCCATTCCTTCTTCTAGTGTCTAAAATCTGTTGTGGACATTAGACTAGTTTAACTCTCGTGCTAAAAACAAAGGTTGTTGCCAATCCACAGTGAACAGTCCTTGTTTTTCCTGTTTAGAACCACAGCTTTTGACTTGGATTAACCAACTCTAAACTCAGCTAGTTCACACTTTGTTATAAAGAGCTGGAGTGCACAGAGAAAGTTGTGGCCTGAATATCTTCAAAAATCTAGGACACTGAGTTTCCACTTCTCTCCACAACCATGCATAACCATGCATCTCCAAAAACAAAACCAAAGACAACCTGCAGCCATGACAGAGACCATCCTGCACTGCTCATCCACAGCTTTGTTACAGACACAGCTCAACACCTCCCTGCTGTACAACATGATTCCAAGTCTATTGAAGGTCCACTGTAGTAGAAATATCGTCCTCTCGTCCGGTGTGATTTAAGGACACTGAAAGAATAAAAATAATATAAAATAGTAAAATAAATTTGTACTGAGCCTCATTTATCAGGAAATATTAATTGAAACCTTCCTGTCCCTCCAGAGTAATGATTCAAATAATTAAAGCCATTATGAAAGCCTTTCCCTCGTATGGATAAATCATCACTGGAAAGCTCCAGACGTTCATCATCAGCAGATGTCTTTGATACTTTTACTGTATCAGGTGAACAAAAAAGGTCTGAAACAGGGACTTATGGGCGAAAACCAACTAAAATCTGATTTAGCCAGGAGTAAAGAATGAAATGTGGGTCCGTTCTGGTGCTGCTACCCAACGTAAATCAAGAGCTGGAGTAGCATCCATCAGGGAGGAGAAACTGGTTCATCAGAACAGACTGGAACAGGATTGTGTGAGTTCAAACAGGCCAGACGGATGAAGAGGGATGTCCAAAAGTTACTCACTTGGTAGACTGAGTGTGCAGCTAATTGCTGCCGAGGGACTGAAAGGAGAAACTACTAATTAAACTTTCACTTTGTTACAGTCAGGACACCAAATAAAAAGGTTAAAACTACCTGAACTGTGACCAGCTGGGTTGGAAAAAGGTCCCAGTTTATTTTTAGCAACGGCACTCAGGGAAAATCTCTAAACCTCAGCTGTTAAAGAACCACAGCAAAGAGTTGAAGCTGGATGTCAACAAGTCACTAAACACCAGTTTATTTTGGGGCTCTTTTTTTAACATCTTCAGCTAAGATGTTTCAGGAAGCTTTATACCTGAATTTATGTTAATCAGTGCCTAAATTATAACTTTTCTCCATGTTTGTTCATCTTTCTCATTGTTTTTCTTCATCTTCCAGGAAGAGAGGGTCTCCTCGGGATGAGATAGTAGTGACTCCATCTTTGTCAAGAATTGGACTCAAAACCAAGCAGCTGACTGAGGAAAACACCGACTTTGCTTCACGCCACCGTTTTCACCAATCTTCGTTCATCCAATCCGACACGGTGGTGCAACCATCGTGCAAGTGACACAAGTCATCGGCTGAAAACCTCAAACCACAAAGTGTACCTCATGCTGCTGCGCTCTGCGCATGTTTCCTATGTAGAAAAGACTTTCACCGGCTGAGCTTGTGTTCTGGGGATTTTTCAAGAAAAGCTGAGCTTTTCTTAGAACTCTGCAAAAGAAAAGACTTTTTGAGGGACAAAAAAAATACTTGGGTGCTAAACATCACATTTAGTTTGATTTGTAACTAAGTTAAGAAATCAATTTATTTTGTTACAATTTTTGTTTTTTGATTTTCCCCACAATCATCTTTTGTATTACAATGAATATTTCACAAATGTATGACATGATTAAATATAAACACTATTTGAATCATTTGGAGTACTGTTTATTCTGGGTTTTTGAAGCGTTTTTTCCCCCCAAAAAAACTTACTGAAAGCAAATTGCTGCTTTTAGATCTGAAAAAGCAACTTATTTTCTCGGGTGCATTGATTAGTTTTCAAAGTTAAGACAAATAAATTGCAAATCCCAACCACCAGCTTCTGTTTATAAACAAATAGAAGGACAGACATGCTTTTTTTTTTAGGTGATATTCCATTTATATGTTAGCAAATCATGTGTTTAAGGTAGATTTTGAGCTGCAGTGCTGACAGGGGGGTATATTACCTCACCTCTTCCTTCTTCCTGTCATGCTCCGTGTCAACAGCAGCGGCCAAATGATGATCTGCAAGCACAACAATTATCTCATTTTTTCTCACCTTGAATGTAAATATTTAGTTCCTGTAATTCGGGGATGTTTGCATGCTTTCTGCTGCTTATTTCCTCTCATAATCCTCCATCTCTCCATCACTGCAAGACATGTTGCAGCTGAGCTCCGTCTCCAACATGACGGTTCTGCACAACTTTAAACCACAGGATGTTTGGGTTCTAGGTTAATTCAATATAAAGAAAATGGATCTGTAGATCAGTGAAGGCATCGTTCAATGTTTCATCAGTTTCCTTAAATGAGTAAAAGAAACATACACATTTCTAGCTTCCTGAGAAAGTTGATATATTCTATCACTGCACTCTGTGTTATTTGAACTTTAATCGTTCATTTAGGCCACATCGTTGATCCAAAAGGGGGAAATGTTTCCAAATAAAATTGAGTTAAATCTCAGGAAACTGATATCATCCTTCCAGAGTATTTAAAGTTTAGAAACTTTTAAAGTTTATTGTCTTAGATTTTATTTTGGTCTGTAAGATCTAAATGCAGGCCTAAGTTTTATTATTTATAAAAAAAAAAAAAAATGTGATTATTTTTGGTCAGGTTAGTTTTGGAGTGAAAATTGACATGAATATTTTTTCTTTAATTGGAAAGTGGGTTTGGAGCTAATATAAAGTAGAGTGTGTACCAAAATATATGGTACTGTTTATTTAAAAGGAAAATGTCTTGAAAATGCTTGGTGTGGATCTGTCGGCTATAGGAGACAGAAGAAATGAAAGAAAAAGTGATGCAATCTCTGACATATCTCGACCAAATCTAATACCTTAGAGATGTAATTAAATGTAGATATTTAAAGATAGAAATGATCACTTATAACTGCGGTCTTTGGTCCAAATATGATGTAAATGTATTGATTTATTCATTATACAAACAATGATAAAATCAGAAACAATTTAGGAAACATCAAAACCGCTATTAATATATGAATAACAGATTTTAAAACAGGGTGTTAATTTTTTATGATGTTAAATTTAAAGTTTGGCCTTATTAATCCGGTCTAAGCCTCCATACTACGCAGATTAAATATCTTTTTTTCTCGATGAATTCATGCAGAAAAAGTATTCTGATGTTTTGTGTTAAGTTTTTCAAAAGTAATGCAAACATTTTTCGCATTTACCTAATCATATTTAGTTACTTTAACACAATTGTTTCATGTTAGCAGGGTAGGACATAAAACAGTTGTGTTAAAGTAACTAAATATGATTAAGTAAATGCAAAAAGCGGTTGCATTATTTATTTATTTTTTAGTGTAAATAAAATGAAAAAAATGTAGACATCCTGAGCAGGTAAGATGTTTACTGCTTACAAAGTCTCAACAGAACCCCTCTCCATGAACTTTTCTTTTATAACTTGAAAGTTGAGGTGTTTTTATGTTTTTTATTTTCTGTTTAACTCTTTAATAAGGTTTATCCCTAAATCTGTCTGGAAGTAGGTTTTCTCATCAGCTTTAAGGATCATTTTGAAGGTTTTACTTGTGACACCTGCAGGAAGCGCAATAATCAGGCTGAGTTTAAATGTGTTGGAGGAGGAGGAGGAGCATGATAACAAGCTGCTCCCTCTCCTCTTATCTTCCGCTCCCCGCCAGCAGAGCTCCTGATCTCCTCCGGATCTCCTCCAGGAGTCTCTCATTTCCATCTGATCCCCCCCAGCAGCCGGAGCGCCTGTCCCATGGTGTCCCCGGTGGAGGACTCCCGGGAATCCACTCGTGTTCGCCGCTGATTCAGGGGGTCTGAAAGAAGTCATGGAAACGTGCTTTTTGAATCACCTCCTCCTCTGTTGTGTGTCTGTGCTGCTGCTGCTGCCGGGGCCCCTCTGGGCTGGGACCCCCGGCTACAACCGCACCGCTCCGGTAACGGACGGCTTGGATCGCTCAGCGGGAACAGATGGACTCAGCGGCGCAGAAAGCGGCGCAACTTCTACTTCATCCTCCAGCGAAAGTTTATCCCCATCACAGAGGGACCTCCTGCTCTCCCGCACCGCAGAAACACGCACAGCAGAAACACGCACCGCAGCAGCCAGGAGCCACGGTAAGAGGAAGAGGGCCCTGCTGGAGGATAGAAATAAACCATGCAAACTGATTAAAATAAAGATTTAAAGGTTAAAATCATTGAATGCTTCAAGATGCAGCAGGGAGACTTAATATATGGATGAATAGTAGATGTAGATGGTAGTAAAGTTGTTACTATAACCTAAATAGACCTAAATAAATAAAAGTCTTTAGTTCTGAATGAAATAATCTTTAAATGTCCTTTTAATATAGAAAAAACATAATAGTTAAACCAGATTCTCCAGATAAACTAAATTTCCAAAGATTTTTTTTTTGTGAAAAATGAGAAAACACAAATATTAAACTTTATTAAGACAGATTTGATCAGATGATGCCTAAATACTTATTTAAACTCTTCTACAGTATAAAAAAGACTTTTTAAAAGTTATGAAATGTTACCCATTAAAGTCTTCTGGAATTTAATAAGCTAAACTAATCTAATTATAAGCAATGGATATATTAGCTACATTGTTTATTAAGAAAATTTACATAAACATCTTGATTAGATTTAAACTAAATATGTTATTTTAGTCAGGAGTTTTATAACAGAAATCATTAGATAAGACTTGGAGATTGAGAAAATTTCCATGTTGAAGAAAACTGTTTGTTTGTATTTATGTTTATTTATTTACTGGCCAAATTTAAAGTGGCTTAAAAAGCGGAGATTCTTCACCTTGAGCCTTTTGCAGTAAATTTTAGATTTTGTCAGGGAAAATTTTTTACAGGTTACCTTATTTGATTGGATGTTTAACATCCAATCAAATAAGTCAAATAAATATTAGAATATTTATAATCAAAATCTACAAATGCAATATTTACAGTTCTATTGATGACCTGTTAAAACTTCATCTTTATTCACTGTGGAGGGACAGCGAGCTGAATTTAAAAGGCTTTATATTTATTAAAGTGGACAGATTCATCTCTCATATGTCCCTTTCATTCAGTTTTACCAATAAAATGAAAATCCAAACGTAGCTGAGACTTGGTAGCGACATATTGAATCTTCAGATCACTTCACTCTCAGCAGCATCTTCTGTTTCCCTGCAGCCAATGTGTTTTCTGTTAGCAGACATGAGGGTCATGCAAGGAGAACATGCTGAATGATTTTGATTTAAGTGCAGGAGGGTCTTTCAGATCTCCAGATTTGAGAATTTTAAAAGGAAATTTCTTCTACATGAAGCACATGTAGAATTCAGAATAACAAAAACTTTTTTTTTTATCTGCTAGACTGTTTAAAAACAAATAGGGATCAATATCCTGATCAGATATTGATATCAGAAATCAGTTCAATTCATCAGAATATATCCAACAGCATTTAAAATCTCCAATATAAGCAAGTTGATAGAAACACCTTTATTTATCAAGTTCCGCTGAAAGTTATGTAACTCTTTTTTTTGTTGACTCTCAACTAATCGGATAAAATCGTGTTTAACTGATTATTGATAAATCATTAACTGGAGTATAGAGACTCTAAAACATACCTTTGGCTGACAGATTTAACCCACTTAGAGCAGCAATTATACCAAGATTGTAAAAAAAAATATAAACATTTTGCAGTTAAGATAGAAAAAATCTTTTTTGTCTCTCAATATGCCTCATCCAGAAAATGTTTAGTTTTCACCTTGTTTGATTTCGTAAAAAGCCTTCTTTAAGGAGCATTTTGGTATCCAAATATTAATCAATTAATTGGAAATAATAATCAAACAGATTAATCCATTTGAAAATGAATCTTTAGATGCAACCCTAATTGACTCTCTGTTTGAATAATATTGTCTGATTTACCACGGCTGGGCAATATGGCTTAGAGTCTAATCTCTGATTTTTTGTCCTCCTGAATCTGATTAAACTTTTTTTTTCTCATATAAGTTTCATTATAACAATGAAAAATATTGCTTTCTAAAACTGTCTTTTTTTTTAAATATCCCCTCTAGGAGCTGACCTTAACTAACATCAACATTCAAGCTGTTAAACATGCTTTTAAAATAATCATGTTTCACAACAAACAATGAAAATATAACAAACTAAATGCTTCCAGCTGGTTACATCACACAGCGAGCCAGTTTCATTTATGAACAAAAAGTGATGATGTCACTCTGAGCTATAGAACAAAAGGAGTTGATTTGATAAAAAAAAAAATCTAGATCTTCCAATAAAAAATCTTTCACACAAAAAAATGAAACAAATGAATTTTATTGATTAATCGGGCAGCATTAGATTAAGCCTTTTAAAAAATTCTTTACTAGAAAATTAGTTAGAAATAGTTTGTGTGATTCGTGCTGATGTGTCGGGTCAATATCGGCACTATATTGGAAATTTTAAAAAAGTTGTGTCTGGATATCCCTAAAAACAAAAGTCGGCTTCCAAATACCTGCCGTATAGAAGAGGATCTAAAACCTGAAAGCTTACAGGAAATCTTTTTTTAAATTTCTTTATTATTTCCCATTTTCATCAATATAGCAGTGGTAGAATGTTTCCACTGCTAAATGCCAGAGTGAGAGAATTTATATTTCTGAAAAACAAAAAAACAAACAAACAAAAAAAAAAATCATTTTCTCTTTATAAAATTTGAAAAGTTTATATGATACTATCTTGGCCATGGACAGGTCGATCAGAGAGAAAGAACCCAGGAACCATAAGAATTTTACATTTTTTGAGACTTGGATAGTAGTTTTATTAAAGAGCTAGATTTTTTTTTTTTTTTTTTAATCACCACTTTACATTTGGAGGAAAAGAGGGAAAGCTTGCAGGATTCTAAAGATGTTTGGCCGTTCATATATGGTATTTTGCAGGAAGATGGATGCGTGCATTTTACAAAATGATGCTTTCACAAGAAAAGACAGAAAGGCGATGAATACATATTGAAACAGCATCACAGGAAATCAGCAACCAAGTTAAAGTTTTGGGTAAAAATATGTCTTACTAATGAATAATGAGCAGAAAATTATTTAGAAAAATGTCTTTAAGACCAAAAGAGTCCACTTTTTTGATGTTCCTTCATAAAGCTATTATCTTAGTTCTGTAGAAACTCTGTGAGAATGTTGGTCTACAATCCAGATTCAGGGGCGCCAGCTCTGCGGAGAAATGAGCCAAACTTATAGTTAACTGTTGGTGGATACTTCTTGAAGCATTGGGTCAAACATTAAATATTTTAGAACATTTTAGTGTTAATTTTTATAAATACAACAAAAAGATTTGTAAAAGAATTTGTAGGAAGCATGGCCTGCTTCTGTCAGTGTGCCCCAGGGCAGCTGTGGCCATTTACCATTTACATTTATATCCCAAAAGGCTATTTGAAGTTTTTATAAGGTCAAAAAAGGAAGTCATAAAAACAGTAAATCATGTTAACAGGAATAATACCATCCTGGAAACAAATATGCAGCTTTAAGGGTTCAAATAAACTTATTTTTGTGGTTTATTTGTTATTAAAGACAGATTCTTATGAAAGGATAAACCTTCTGCTGTTCAAAAGAAATGTTTGCCTAAATTAAAACAAAAAACTGAATTCATCTGCCTGAAAGGATTGAGCCAATTTTCATAAATACCATCAAATTTTCTTCAGTATCAAACCGATGGTGCATCTCTAGAGCTAGAGCTATGAAATATATAAAAATACAAGTTATGTGCAATGTCAATGTTTGAAAAACCTGAATAAATAAGGAACCGTGTGTTTACTCTACATATCAAGAATGTGTTTGTCTCATTCGATGAACTTTGGCCATCTAATGTTAAAATGTCACAGTTATGGGAACATAATAATGAAGAACGGAACATTTTGAAAAGATTGAGGAAAAAGTGACGTAGTCACAACTTGAATCATCATTATCAGATTATATAGCTAATGCTGCTTTTGCATGTTTTCTATTATGGTGTCACCCAAGTAGTAACAGGACTTTCCTTATTGAACCGTTTGAGTTTATTCTTTTTGTATTTTGGGTGATATTTCTTAACAAGCTGAATGCATTGATGTTCATTCTGCAGCAGTTTTTGTTAATATTTGTGGCAGAGTTATTAGAAGGATGTATTTTAGGTTTTATTTGTCCTGTCTTGGGTTTGGCTTCATGTTTCCTACAGTACATTCCCACTAACACCCTTTATGATTCATGCTGTTACATTCAGTCCAACTGGGAGCCGTCCCAACCAGTTTCATAACACAGATGCCCTCACTCTGAGCTGGGATGTTGGACTGTCGGCTGAAATAAAATGCAGCTTTGAGGTCATGACCTACAGATACCCATCAGAATTAAAACAAAAACCTGCTACTTTCTCGTCCCAACTTAACCTGGCATTAAAATGTTCATGCAGTTTAGTTAAATATGTTTATTCCCGGCTTTTCTAAGCTGTCATTGAAGAAGATGACTATGCTGAAGTTTCTGAAGGATATCAGATGTGAAGAAACACTGACAACTGTGTCAACAGCTGAGAGATAAACAGCAGTGATCTGGGAGTGTCCATCACTTTCTGCCAGCACCACGTTCCAATCTTGAGTTTAGTTTAGAGACAAGAAATGAAATATGAAGACTGACACAAACAGTCTGGTGGCCCTTTTCTCTTCTCTATGGACTCCCATCAGACAGACTGTTATGCTTCTGAATCCTCTTTTTATTGAGTTTTTGGATGGAGGCCTTTTGTGGCACCGATGCTAACCCCCTCAGAGCTCCTGTCTTAGTCCTGGAAGGAGGCCAGATAAAAAGCTGTCAGACCACACAAGACTAGAGAGATGAGCAGAGGAAGAACTCCTGTTTATCCCTGAACACTAACTGTGTTTTCTTTTCACCCCCAAGGTGTAAATATGTGGCAGAATTGAAGTAGATTAATCATTTATTGCAGTAGAAGACAGAGAGCAGAGACCTTTCTTAATGTACATTGTGCCGATTTGCAACAAATGCCTCCTTAGGGTAAAAAAAAACATAATTTATATGCATAAAAATGCAAAAAGAGAATTATATATGGATAGATTCAAAGTGAACTATGTACAAATATGTTAAAAAAAAAGTTTAACAACAAACCAATGGATTTTGTTTTCCAAGTTTGAGGACGTTTCACTTCCCATTCAGGAATCTTTCTCAAAATTGCATTGAGTTCCAAGCTTTATAGAGTAGCCCAGCAAAGCAAAGCCTTGTTGTGGCTTAGCAAACATGCAAAGTGACTAGCATATGTACAAATATATAGTTACCATGTTCAGTGACGGCATAAACTGGGCTGCCTTTCTGCTGTCAGCTTTTTGATCATTGACTTTTTACTGCAGATATAAACAATTATAGCCAAGAGGTCTGTTTAAGTAGCCAGTTTAAGAAGATAAACCTTCATTATGTAAATCATGGATTATCTTGTTTTTCTTATTTTTGTGGTTAATTGAGGCTGTAACTATTCATCTGCTGGCTATTTTTTTGACTAAGATAGCAAAAGATGCTTTTCTTCAACATATAAAAAAAACTTAGTTTTTCCATTTGTTTATTTAATTTTTTGATTATAAAAAATATTTAAAATACAGGTATATGTGTATAGATAAATATATATTCTTTAAAGGGTTTAATAACTACAAACTGAGTTATCTTTCAGGAAATGACATGTTTTACCGTCTGTGAGTGAAATGAACAATTATTCGGTACCAAAATATGTCATTTTTTGTTCAATAATAGATTAATGAGATAAATTGGTTTGGTCTAAAATTAAACTTCCTAGAAGTTTAATTTTAAAATTACTAAAATTAAACTTCCTAGAAGTTTAATTTTAGAGCCTTTATTATTTAAATGTTTTAACCTTACAAGTAATATCCATCCATCCATCCATCCATCCATCCATCCATCCATCCATCCATCCATCCATCCATCCATCCATCCATCCATCCATCCATCCATCTGGGTCCACCCTAGACAGGTCGCCTGTCTATCGCAGGACAAAAGTAATATATGAAACACAATGAATGTGAAAGAAATTTATAAGGTTAGTACATTTTATTAACAAGGCAAATTAAAGTCCTGCACATGAACAGAACATAAGAACAAAAAAGACAGAAAAGTTCATTGCAGTGGCAGAATATACAGAGGTTGTGAAAAGTTTGACTAAAACCTTTAACTAAACTTTAGAATTGTATCACCTTGATGAACTCAGTGTTTTAACAATACTCTTAGCATAATATCTAACGTTTGCAATCAAATTAAACATCAACATAAAATATCTTATATTTTATATTGATTGTTTGGTCGTATCTAGGGCTGCAACTAATATTTATTTTTCTTATTGATTAATCCGTCTATTATTTTTTCAATTAACTGATTAATAATCGGATAGCAAAATGTTTCTTAAAGATTTTTTTGACTAAGTTAAACCAGGTGAAACTCATTTTTCCACTCAAGTTTTTTTTTTTTACTTAAATGCAAATTTTTTTATATATTTTTTCACAATCTTATAATTACTGCTCTGTCAGCTAAAGCCGTTTTTTAGAGTCTCTATACCCCAGGTATTGATTAATCATTTGCCAAATCAGTTTAAGATTATTTCAGTAATTGATTAATCATGATAAATTCGATTAATTGTTTAAGCATTAGTCGTATAATTATATCACCAATGATTGCAGTGCGATCTAAACATTAAAATGAAAGGATGAGCTATATTCCTGCAGTGAGGATTGTTGTTCATCTCTACTAGCGTCTGGCTAGTGGTGAGTTACCCGTCTTGCAAACAGGAAGCCTCGGTTCGTATCCCAGCTGGGGGGAATAAGGGGATGAGCTACCAGCGTGGGTCCTTAAGCAAGACCCTTCACGCTAATGCCAGCTTTGGGGAGTGGTGATCTAGTGGTTAGGGTTCTCAGTTTAAGCCCCACTCCCTGAGACTGACCCTCTGGCTCCTTGAGCAAGACCCTTAACCCTGCACTGCTCCCCGGGCACCGCACAATGGCAGCCCACTGCGCCCCAAGGGGATAGGTTAAATGCAGAGAGCTAATTTAATTGTTCTATACTTGTGACAGTGTAATGACAATAAAACTCTTGAGAAAATAAACCTTTGTCAGGAGTGATAATAATTATAAAGCATTGGTAGTTAGTAAATTGCTAAATGAATTCTTAATGGACTTATATCACTCAGATGAGTTATTTAGGTTTTATTTGACAATTGAAATTAGGCTGGTTAAAATACTGCAATAAAATATTTTAAAGTTTATAACATAATTTAAGGTTTAAGCTCATCATTGTTCTGAGCAAATAAAGTAATCAGTAAAATGATAACTCCATATTGTGAATGCCACAGTGTAAATCCATGTTTCTAGGTGGGACCTTGGCTGCATTCCATTCCTCTTCGTTTCGGCCCTGATTTCTCAGCTGTAAACTGCTAAACACCACAAAAATGTCCCCAAATTAGCCGTGTTGTCTCAGCTGTCACGTTCTTTTCATTTCTGCTAGTGTTTAGTGTGTTTATATGTGACTGAACCATTTTACCCAGCAGGCTAAAAGAGACCTCTGAACAATGAAAACACGCCCAGGTCCACGCTTTGCCGTTTTCTGCCAATCTCCCTCTGCTCACTCAGCTTTAGGAAGGAAATGGCAGATTCCCAGCAGAGACAGCCACTTCCATATTTAGGACTTCAAGCCATTGTTAAGAGTAGACAAACTGGCAGCCAGTTGCTCTCCACCCAAACTTTGCTGCCCAAACAGCCGTTATTGTTCCCTCCTGACAGCATCTTCTCACCGTCTGCAGTCGTAACGAGCTTCCAGACAACCTGGTGAGCGCCCGCTATAGGCCACCACTGAATTATTAATTAAAAACTCCAGGGAGTTAACGAAATCCACAACACCTTTAGGATTTCATTTCAGTGTATTTGGGTTTCTGTAAATGATTTTAAACATCTTTAATAGCGGTGTGGGAACATATCAATTTTGAGATATATCGTGATTTTTTTGCCGCCAAAAAAGAAAATAAACCTTCAAGTCCCTAGAACGAATTTAAAAAAAAAAAAAAATTTACCCGAAAAAAAGAGAAAAAAAAAAGAAAACAGCCGAAACAAGAACCAAGAGTACCCCGAAGCCCGAATGCTGTACCAGACACCACACAGTACAAAGTAGAAAGCACAGAGAATAAAAATTCACACTTAACACATAACCCAGCACAGTGGGCAGCAATGGGCCGCCACCGGGGGAGCACTGGGGAGCAGAGGGGCGTGAACAGGCACCCACAGCAAAACTATAAGAGAGGGGGGTGAAAACACAAAACCACGAGACCAAAAGCCATACCCCAAAAACAAGACCCCGCCCCCACAGAGACACACACACAGGAAAAAAAAAAAACACACAAAAACCAAAAAACACAGGGACAAAAAGAAAAAAAAAAAAAAAATATCTTGAGAAAAACACAAAAAACATGCGCTTTTTTTAATCTATACCTTTAATTTGATAACTCAGAGAAATATTGCAATATATAGTGAGATTGCAATACTGTGATAATATCATACTGTGAACAAAGTATCGTGACAAGTGTCGTATCGCAACACCCATGCCAATACTCACACCTAAACTTAAAATATATGAACCACCTTTATGTGTCATTAAAAAAAATCCATCCTCTGCATCAAACTCGTCCTTAAGGGAGCAGTGAGCAGCTTTCTGTAGCACCCATGGAGGATTGTAGGGTTAAGGGTCTCATTCAGGGGCCCGGGGTGGCAGACACCCTGCTCTCCACACGACGCCAATACCCGATAGGAAAGGAAATTCCTGCATAAAAAAATACAGTCAGTCCATTAGAAGTCTTTTTGAAAATAAATTGCTCCAATCAAACCACTTCTGTTCTGTACATATTGATGTATTTGTCAACCCTTCATTCATCCATTAATGAAACCCTCCATGCACCCATTTACCATCCATCCACTCCATATGCCTATTCATTCATCCATCATCCATCCATTGTAGTTTACTAATCAAGAAACAAGACAAACATTAAGTCTGCCAAAAAAAAAAGTTAATATTATTAAACCTTTATGAGCCAATGACCTGTTCTTTCAAAGGCGAACTATAAAACGTGGAAAATACAACTTTTTCCTTGAGAAATATTAAATGTTGGTCTTTTTTTTCTGTATTTGCAGAAACAGAGCAAACAGAAGTGTTCACCGAAACAAGCAGCAAGTTTCAAGATGTCACAAATCTGTCCACGGAGCCACCTACCTCCTCCTTTATAACCACCTCTGATTTCAGCAGCAGTAAAAGTAGTTTTAGTAGTAGCAGCAGTAGCAGCATCAGTAGTAGTGATAGTGGTAGTACTAGAAGTAGTAGTAGTAGTAGCACTAGTAGTAGTAGCACTAGTAGTAGCAGTAGTAGTAGTAGCGGCCTTACTAACACAAACCAGATGGCAGTGATCTCCCACTCTGTGTCCACGGACGACCATTCCTTGGTGCCAGAGGATGAAACGTTGCCCCAGGACAGTCCGGATACGACGCTCCGTTTGGGAGACGCAACGTCTTCGGAGTCGCAGACGGACACGCTAACTGGCAGCACCTACACAACCACTGTCAGCCGTGCTGGGGAGAGGACCCTGCTCTCTGTTACCTCCTCTAACAACAGCACCTCTCCTGCCTTCACTCAGGACTCGAGTTCCCTCCTGCCTCCGTCCACCTGGAGTATTCCTCCCAGGCCCGCGGACACAGAGGGTTATACTCAGAGCGCCCCGGCAACAAGGACTAATGGTGAGGAAACAACAGAGCAGCATGTGACTGGAACCTCTTTAGAGACTGAGGGGCCAGCAGGGGCCAATGGAACCCCAGGTTTAACCGGACAGCCTAATGCCACCAAGCATCAGCTTTCTTTAACATCTCAGGAGATCACAGGTTCAACGCCTCCGCTCAGGGTGACGCAGCCCAGCACGGATCAGTCAGAAACACCTGTTTCTTCCACTCCTCCTCTCACTTCGTATGCAGAGGTTCCTGTAAACGCTTCTGGGACAGATCCTGATTCTGGAAGTAGTGAAAGATCATCCACAGAGATGACAACTGGAGCCCACAGCCCCAACACCCAGAACCAGGAGGGCACAGAGGGGCTTTCATCCCAAACCAGTGAGGGCAGCGTGAGCTTAGGTCTGACTGCCGTACCTTCTACAGTCAGCAGTTTATCTGATCTGGAGTCACAGACACACATGCCAGGGACGGTTACAGAGACCTTCCTCTCCACTGTCCCAGTCACTGCCACTGAAAGGTAAATAATAACTCAACCTTTTATTCCAATCAATGCAAACACTTGATTCAGTTCCTACACAGACCATTGGCGCCCCCTGCTGGTGACTGAGTAGCAGTAAGTAATGAATAAATGTGTAGTGGAAACAAGTACATGGTAAACACATTATATTAAACATAAAATTACAAAAAAGTGTAAATTTCTGAAATATGAGGAATCATACTGTTTTTTGAAAGTATTTAATATTGGATAATCCCTTGAAATCTATTTGTTTTCGATGGGGCCCACAGACAAAATATATATAAAACATAAACCAAAGATGTTTTTTTTAAGTGTTGACTGAATTGGTCATTCAAAATCCATACGACCGTTTTTAGATTTTTATTTTAAAAATTATAAAAACATAATTTTTCTTTCAGTTCATAAATTTGTAATTTCCTCTACTCACCCACCTCATTCAATCCCAATAAAACGCTGAAATGTGTTCTTATAATTTGGCAAAATGTGGAAAAGTTTTGATAATCCAGAGATGAGTTAGCAAATGCTCAAAAACAAACTTTTTTCTGATTTAACTATTTTTTTTTCAGATCAGAGACAACAGTGGAAGTCACCTTTAAATCCACTGCTTTTACAACCACCGCCATGACCTCCACTGTGCCGCCCCTGCCAGCTACATCAGCAGCAATGCTGAGCAGCTCCTCCAGTGCTTATACCACAGAGTCCACCACAGAGACCGCCCTCCCATCCACCTCAAACTCCACCACAGCCTCCACCCCGGCCCTGCAGACCTCTACGGCGCTCCCTACAGTCCGCGTGACACCAAGCCAAACGCAGAGGCCTTCAACTAAAATGACCATCCCCACAAAAGCCACCACCGCTCAGACCGAGATGACCACAGGGCACCAAAAACTCACTACAACAAAAAGTCAGTACATCATAACCACCAACAGTCCCAGCACTACAGCCAGCAGCACAGAGGCTCCGCCCACCACCAAGAAACAGACCGATGGAGCCACAGAGGCGGAGGCGACCACCAGGTCCACCACCTTCCAAACTACCAAAGTGCCACGCGGTGAGTTATTGAGGATTTCAGACTCTCACTTTGCTGTGTTAAGCTTCCCCTTTGCTTCCTCAGCTCCTATGTTCTTATCCTCACTGACTGAGAGAGAAATCAGGTTTTATTCAGCAGGAATGTTACAATAAAACCTTCATTAAAAGATCCAGTAGAGCAGATAACTTGTCATCAGCACCCTAAATATAATGCTTTCTAAACTCTAACTACTAAATCTGACATGTTTATAATTGTTTGAGACAATGCTCTGATTCACATGTAGAAGATTTACTGAATTGATGAGTTCTGGTCAAAATTATACTGCTATTTTATTACTTTAGTGCTTTAGCTTTATGGGATTCTTTGAAAAATAGAATCAGCTGGAATGGATTTAGAATCTGTTCATATGATTTGATTGAATTGACTGTTTTTCTAAAATACCTTAAGACGACGCATGTTTTTTTAATTGCAACTAAAGCTGAATAAATTATAAATGATTATAAATTATAAATTAAACTTTACAGGAGTATAAGGATCCAGAGATAAAGGAAACACAATAAATATATCAAAATGAAATTTATAAAAATCTAAGCATCAGAATAAAATAAATATATTTTTTCAAACAATAATTGGTGGCAATTATAGTAGAAGGATAAGACATGATAGAAATGAACTAATAAAAGAAACAGTGACGCTGCAGGAGCCACTGGGGTCACTAAAGGGCTATAATGATATTAATATTTCCTTGTATTGGTCGAGGTAATTTCTGTTGCATTTTGGTTTATATATTGTTGTCTGATTTTTTTTAATTTTTATATATATTAATTTTCCTTACATAGAAACCACTAAAAAAATCTAACCTACTTTTAATTTTTAATGTGCCCTCGAAAAGCCTTTATTCTGTTCAGGCTGTGCTTCTGATGACAGAATGCTGAAGTTTGCTGACTAGCGATGTTCTGATCTGATATGGATATCGGCTATCGGTCCGATATCAAGCAAAAAAAAAAAAAAAAACAACTTGCTTTTGGCAGAAATGTATATAATCCAGGAGTCTCCAACCCTGGTCCTCCAGATCTACTGTCATTGCTGCTCCAACACAGCTAATTTGAATGACTGATTACCTCAACAGCAAGTCTACAACTCTGGCAAAGGTGTTTTCGTATTGGATCCATCTTAAACCTGCAGGACAGTAGAGCATGAAGACCAGGGTTGGAGGCCTCTGATCTAACCCATTGATTAAACAGAAAAGCACAATGAGAGTGCACACCTCGGCCAAACAGCAAACCTTCCCCCATATTGTGACTTTAACCTATGGCTAAAACTCACACATGATCTGGATCATTCCGAAACTTTAAATATAACCTGTAGTAAAAATTTCGTTAATAACCGTTAATAACTTTTCAAATTATGCTGCGCAAAGACAGACAGACAAACACACAAACTCTTCTAAAAACATGAGTTTGTCACGTTTTGGTTATGGTTTAGAGGACCCAAATGCAGAGGCAGAGAGACTGAGGTGAATACTTGTAGTTTTAATGATGAAAATGGTTAACAAAGACATTCCAAAAATCCAACTAAAAATGTAACAGACCAGAACCATGGAGACATCAAGGGAAAACACATACAAGGAGCCAGGGAGAGACGAGGTGAGACAATGACAGCGATGACATTACCAGCAACAACAAGGAACCAACAAAGAGTGAGATCAGAGGGAGAGCATATAGCTGACAGAAACAAAGGCAGGGCTAACGAGCTGACAAGGAGCAGGTGTGAGAGGAGACAACAAGGGAGCCAAGGGGAAGGAACACAAACACACACAAGAGGGCAACAGAGGACAACAGAAAAACATGAGAACATAAATCTAGAAATTACAACAAAACTGGAATTAAACCAATAAAACTAGAAAACGAGCAAAGAAAAGTACAACAGAACCAAGACAGTGACAGAGTTCCTTTGCAAAGGTAATAATCAGTGGGTCAGTTGCTCTCATACCTGTCATTGTTGTTGACTCTCATTAATATCAATTCATTAAACCTTTTTTAATTCAAATCCACAAAATAATTAATAAAAGGATGCATGATTGATGCTTACATTGTGTCAATTTTAATGTTTCATTGGACATCAAAAAGTTGTATGGGGACATCCCTGCTGAGTCTATAATAACACTTTAGTTTTTCCTCTTTGGTTGTTGTACAGTCTAATGCTGTTTGGATTTATTTATTACATTTTATCAAGTGCTTTTGTCTTTAATGAATTAAACTATGTAAACTGTGACCCTTGCAATCATGTACGTTTTAGACACACAAATTTAGTGTTTGTAGTGGACTAAAGTAAAGTGACACAAATATCAAGTCTTGCTTCTTTAGCGTTAATGTTGTAGTATAGGATGAATTATGTCGTTTTTTGCTAAAAGTGTCTAAATCTAAGGAACCCCATCATGTGACCCTGTTCATGTATTATTATTATCAAATTACCTAAAGTAGTTTCTAGAAAATAAGATCAGATCCAGTTCCATACAGTCGTAATTTAGACAGGGCCTACCTGATTTTTATAAAAAGTAGACTTAGAAATTTTCTACCAGTGTTATTTACTCTTATTTGCTGTAGTAGACATGTCCTGACATTCCCTGGGGTAGCTCTACTTTCCTCTTGCCGACAGTTAAAGATATAAATTAATTTTTAAACCCTTTGATGTCTCTGAATGTCAGGAAATCCCTGTGTGTCGAACCCTTGCCTGAACGGAGGGATTTGTGTGAGCTATAAAGGACCAGAGTACACCTGTCAGTGTCAGAAGGCCTGGACAGGATCGACCTGCAACCAGGGTGAGCTCATGGTTACGCCATCAAAACAAACCTGAAGACTGAAGTAATGGAGCGATCTTTACATATCAGATGAAGTCCCTCCTATAACTTTGCACCTACTGTGTTCAGATATGGATGAGTGTGAGCAGGACCCCTGCCCAGCTGGCACCACATGCATCAACACCAAAGGCTCTTTTAACTGTGAATGTCCGCTCGGCTACGATCTGGAGGACGGACGGACGTGCAGCAGAGGTGATGCTGAAATATAAAGATGTCCTGTTTTCCTTTTTCTTAAAGTTATCTCTGTTTGCTCACTGTGGGCTTTTCTTTTCCCCTTTTATAGCAAAGACATTTCTGGGAACATTCAGTTTCAACAGAAACGATCAAATAAAAAGGTCTGCTATGTATGAGATTCAGAGAGAGCTCATACAGCTGGTGAGTCTCACTCTATAGTATTTTACAATATTCAATAGTTTCACCCTGGAACACTATCAAAACAACACTGCTTACATCCTTAAATGTTTGATATTTAATAAATCTCATGCATGATCCTGCAGCTTAACATCTCGTTATCAGTGCTCCAAGGTTACAGCCGCTCAATACTGAGGAAGAAGTAAGTCTGCAGCAGCCTTCAACTTTTACATTTCTATTCTTTGGATGTTTCCTTTTTAGGTTTAGAGATTAATAATAAATCCTAATCATTGGGATTGTTCTTTATAGGGAGCAGGGCGGGGTTCAAATCTTGGCTGTCAACATGTTTGCCGTCTCCACCAATGTGACGACTACTGAAGTGTACAACAGCATCCAGATGTCTCTGAGCAACTGCAGCTCCTCGTTGACTCACTGCAGAATGGTGCTGCAGCATCAGCTGTCCTACCGCGGTGAGTTTATCTGCCAGTATAATCATCATCATCACCAACAAACTTCAATTTGTTCTCTATTTCTGTGTTGATCTGTTATGAGTTTTACTCTGAGCAGTTCGTCAAATGTAGCTGTAGGGTATAAGTATGGCCACCAGGGGGCAGGGTTTATCAAAAGCTTTTAGTTTAATCTTCAATTAATGTTATGGGATGTGCACCTAAATAATTTATTTTTTTTTTTTGCCTTTTTAAGGAATTATTTAAATACACTTTTTCCTACTCCGACATCCTGAATAGATTTATGAAAAAATTTATTACAGCTTTGAATTCATGATGAATTGGATTCAACTCATACAGGCATAAAGCGATGCAAGAATCCTATTTTAACAGTGGGTTAGTTTTCTCCCACCGATATATATCTATTCAGCAAAGTTAATATGTTTCCATTAGGAAATACAATTAAAGTTAATTAAGAAGCTTAACGTTAGCAAGAGTTGTTCATGGAAAAACTAGTTTTGATGTGTTTTGGGGGTTAATACTGTGCAACCCTAACAGGAAGAAAAAAAGTGGTCCGAACAATCGAGAATAATCCAGGAACCTCCGGGACTTATCATAGTCTTTAAGGATTTAACAACACCACCAACATTTTACAGAATTGTACAAACTAAGAACCCGTTTTAAAGTTTTAAAGCACAAAATAATTTAGGAGCTGTTTGGCCAGAACTGCTGTAAGAAAGATTGGAGGAGAGAGGGTGAAGTTTTAAGAGTAAAAACACTTGTATCTACCTTAAAGCATGGTGGTGGTGTTATCATCCTGAGGGTCTGTTATGCTTCTGCATTATGTGAAAGTCTCACCTGCACATTAGAATCAGTGTTTGGTCATGTGACGGTGCTGTAAGTTTTTTAAGTGTTTGTAGTTTTTTATACAAATATTTTAGAGCGCTCTCTGGGCCCAGAATCACAAAACATCTATATTAGAAAAAAACAATTGTCATCTCTAAAACTACCATTAAAGTGCGTCTAGTTATAAATCTTTTATTTGATTTTCACAATAATTCTTACCTGTGTTTCAGTGGAGAGTTTATGTGAAGCTCAGAAAACTCAATGTGATGCAGAACGCTCCACCTGCACTGACAGCAGCGGCACGGCTCAGTGCCAGTGTCTGCCGGGATATTACAAACACAATCCAGAAGACGTGTCTTGCCTAGGTAAGCTCTGTTTATCATTG